AGCTGATAGCGGAATGACCGGTCGCTATGACGTGCACTGACCACCAGGGGGCAGATGCTCAACGCAGGAGCTGCGCCCTGGTGGTCAGTGCACTCACACAGGGGGAGCACCACTCAGCCAGAAGCCCGGCTCACGGCTGGTGAGTGCAGTGGCGGTGGCAGGAGCCTCTCCCGCCTCTGCGGCAGCTCTAGGGATGTCTGACTGCTGGCTTAGGCTGTGGGGAGCAGGCCTAAGTCATCAATCGGACATCCCCCAAGGACTCCCAAACTGCGAGAGGGCGCAGACCAGGCTGAGCACCCCGTCCCACCCCCCCCGGAGTGCATGAATTTCATGCACCTGGCCTCTAGTTTAACAATAAAGCAGGAAATGGGTTGGAAAAGAATGAGGTGGCTTGTGAATTTAACGACTGTGTGCGCCTCACTGGCTACTTGCCCTTCCCTGTGATGGCCTTTATATGTCTACAATTGTAGAAAGAATAGGAAAACTGAACCCTACAGAAAACTAATAGATGTCTCTTCTTCATGCAGTTTTATGACTTGCTGACATCACACCTGTGCCTGCCAGGGCCAAACACAGCACACTACTTACAGAGGACCCATGCGCTACACTAACCACTGCTCCACACACATCAAACTTCCTGTTTTAATGAGTAATGCTAAAAATGGGTACAGTATACAAACACATATTGACTTCTCTAAGGATAAGACTCTCCAGAAGGGGTTTTAAATAAATAAATGCAATGAAATAAATTAGTAATGAAATTATTTTCCATTTAAAGAAAAGTAACTTTAGAACAAGTTAATAGTATTTATTCATAGAAGACATAAATAACATACCTCATTTTCTTTTTCTTTTTAATTTAAATTCTTTCCATTCCTCATTTTCAATTAGCATTTCAGAAAGACTTTAAGGATGTGGTTATAGTTATTTCCATCAGTATTTTTCTAAACAAGACCAAGCAATATAGATGTTTTTTATATCAGCAGCTCAGTCAAATAGTAATTCTTTAAAAGAGAGAAAATAAGTTTTATAGAAAAAAGTATTTTTTTTTAAAAGGATCCTGTTCTCAGAATTCTGGGTGAGCCCTGCTCTCAGTTTCCTAGGTGATTTTATATATCTATATGTATAGATAGATATACGCACACATATTTATTTATTATTGATTCCAGAGAGGGAGGAGAGATAGAAATATCAATGATGAGAGATAATCATTGATTGGTTGCCTCCTGCACGCACCACACTGGGGTCAAGCCTGCAACCTGGGCATGTGCCCTTGACTGGGAATCGAACTGTGACCACCTGGTTCAAAGGTCGATGCTCAACCACTGAGCCACACCAGCTGGGCAAAGGTATCGACTTTCAAATATAGAGAATGTTGCATGTCTGTCAACTTTGTTGTCTAGTTTAGGTTGGTCTTCTTCCCTGTGCCACTTCTTTAATAACCATGATGCTGCAAGTGTGAGTGAGACAGTGTACTAACGCTGGGGGTGCAAAGATTTCCAAGACATGGCGTTTCCTCAGAGAGTCGGCACCCAGACAGACGCCCGCCCACAGCTCCCTGTGCGGGCGCCGCAGGAAGAGTGCTGGGGGAGCGTCAGCCTCTGTTCAAGCTGTGGGCTTAAGAAAGCTCACTATTGGCCCCATGACAACAGCAAATGCACTATAATTCTGGAAACATGGTTATTTTCCATAAAATTTGCAAGCCAAAGTTGTCTGTCCCATTATCTATCATAGAAAGGCCTATGTACACTATGCTCAGAAACTGTCATCCCACCCGGCCCGTGTAGTTCAGTGGTTGAGGGTGGGCCCATGAACTAGGACAGCGGTTCTCAACCTGTGGGTCGCGACCCCTTTGGCGGTCGAACAACCCTTTCACAGGGGTCGTCTAAGACCATCCTGCATATCAGATATTTACATTACAATTCATAACAGTAGCAACATGACAGTTATGAAGTAGCAACGAGAATAATTGTATGGTTGGGTCACAGCATGAGGAGCTGTGTTTAAAGGGCCAGAAGGTTGAGAACCGCTGAACTAGGAGGTCACGGTTCCACTCCCAGTCAGGCACATGCCAGGTTTTCAGGCTCAATCCCCAGTAGGGGACTGACAGGGGGCCACCAGTTGATGTTTCTACCTCCCCCTAAAGTCAGTAAGATATTTTTAAATAAGTTATCATCCCAACCCAATTCTGTCAGAACTTGGGGCGAGGCTGGAGCCCAGGCCCCGGTGTGTGAAGTCTGCACAGGTGAGGAAAACGACTCCTCGGGGCCCACTGATCACGTCCTGCCTCATGACTCATTGAAGCTGGGAACCCGGCCAACACGCAGAGTCCAGAGCTGCATTAGAGGGCGCTGGCCCTAAGAGGATCCCCGATCTGAGATTATGCTCCTTGCATTTTCACCTACACCCCAGTTTTGACATGTGCCAATAATATGAGATAGCATTTCATGTGGGTATCTCTGGCATAACCACTTCTGGCAGAACCCAAGAAAATTCAGTGACGGCCAACAGCTATTGCCCAAGATGTCTAATTTTCCCAACTTTACGCATTAAAGCCAGGGCAACGGGAGCCTCCAGAAATCACCAGCTTTGGGTACATGAAGACCGAGGCCTGACAGCGTCCCTGTCACCACCTACTGCACACAAGTACGTAGAGACCAACAAAACCAGCATTAAAAAGTGGTCATCTCGGAGACAGACTGAGCTCTAGGAAATGAAGGGAAGGAAGACGAAGAGCGAGCTGGAGGGGTGGGGGCGGAGCCTCAGGAAGGAGGAAGAGGCCGCACTGAAGGTGGGGAGGGCATTCTCCCAGTCAGGAGAGCAGCACGATGGAGCTGGCAGCAGCCTGGCACTCGGGGAGCATGAGCGTTTCCTTAGAGATCAGCGGGGACAAACGGGGAGTGCTGATTAACAGGGTGAGGAGCCTGAACTTAAGCTCACGGGAAAACGGGGTTACACTCGTGTGTAATGTAAGAAATGTTCTGGGAGCGTCTCCGGCAGCTGAAACGCAAGCCGCACTGAGCTCAGGGGCCGCGGTGTTTCCCAAGCTCGGCCCTGAACACAGCAGCTTTTAAAATGTGACGGTTTGTCACGTGAGCACAACAGCACCGCACACACCTTGGCATCACTCCAGACCGAATGTCAAGGTAATTTTGTAAGTCAAATGATTTATAAAAAGGTCTGTTAGCTCTTAAACATTAAAAGTTTATAATAGGAAAACATAACATACCCAAGAGATTATACATCCATTTACGCTAGCTTTACAGAGAGACAATATTCAAGCTTTATTTTTTTCTCCTGAAAGAACTACTTACATAGTCTAAATCTAGCACAAGAAGTAGAATTAATAAATAATGAAGATAGTATTTTTATATCCTTTCTCCTTAGAATATCAATGCCAAATGGATGGTTGGGGATTTTTTCTTAAATCATTTTTTGGCAAAAAGAGAGCTGCTGGAGGTTTGGATGGATGGTTACCCTGAGGGTCCCTGACCTGGGAGTGAAGTACAGAAATAACCCTGATCCCACAGGTAACGGTGCCTGGGAGCCGAACATCCGGATCCCTGTCATTACCGGTAACGACAATTAAATAAACATTTGAATTTAGATAAATTAGAAAATCAGGTAATGCCATAAAAAACACAAGCTGATAAAAAATGTCTCACATGCTAAGCCAAACATTTCCCCAAAATATTTTTAATTAAGAATTCATCAGGCCAAACCGGTTTGGCTCAGTGGATAGAGTGTCGGCCTGCGGACTGAAGGGTCCCAGGTTCGATTCCGGTCAAGGGCATGTACCTGGGTTGCGGGCACATCCCCAGTGGGAGATGTGCAGGAGGCAGCTGCTCGATGTTTCTCTCCCATCGATGTTTCTAACTCTCTATCTCTCTCCCTTCCTCTGTGTAAAAAATCAATAAAATATATTAAAAAAAAAAGAATTCATCAGTATAATTATACCTGTAGTAGGAAAAAATATGCTATGCAAATTAACATAGCAAGTTAAGTTTGGCGTGTTTAAGTATAAAAAACAACTCGGGTAACGTAAGTCCATACTCACTGAGTGTAACCCGTATTATTAATACTTATTCTTAGGAGATATAGCCACTTCCTGCTACATGTCTCTACGAAACAGAAACATAATAAAGGATGAGCAGTCATCACTAGAACACTTTTAACAACACCATCACATTTCAAATAACCCGACACTGAACTTATTTGCCAAAATCTTATATAAAGATAAACATTCAAATTAATATTTTTATTTTTGATTTCATGCATTTGCCCACAAGATAACCCAAAACATATTAATCTAATGTTTAAAAAATCCTCACCCAAGAATATTTTTTAATTGATTTTCACCGAGAAGGGGGGAGGGAGGGAGAGAGAAAGAGAGAGAGAGAGAAACCTCCATGTAAGAGAAGCATCAATCGGCTGCCTCTAAGATAGTCCACTGGTCCATTGAGTATCAACTGGACGCCCCCCAGTGGGATCAAACCCGCAACCTAGGCATGTGCTCTGACGGGGAATGGAACCCTTTGGAGGGGACCATGCCCCAACCGGCCGAACCTACTACTGTGTGATAGTCTCCTTTTCTTTCCAAGAGACTATCAAAATGATTTTTAAATATGAAGTCAGTCACATGAAATTTTAAAAAGCGCCGACAATCCTCCAAGGCGCTCCACAAACACTGAGCTCCTTACCGCGATGGCGCTGGAACTGTCCGTTCAGGACGAACGGGAAGCCAGCCGCTCGGGGTGACGAGGCGATGACCCGCGGAGTCTTTCTCTGGAGGAGGATTCACTTCTCCAAGCGGCAGAGAAACCCACGAAAGCAAGAACCTGCGCCCAAGACCTGCACCCACGCGCCGAAACCCCTCAGCAGCGGAGGAAAATGGACTGAAAGCCAAGCGGAGCCCATGGGCTGGAAGGAACGGGGAGGGGGGTCCCCCCTGAGCCTGGCTGGACCTGAATGACCCCCGAAAACCGAGCCCCGGGACTCACAGAGCACGGCCACCGCCCCGGACTCGAACAGGAGACACTCCTCCTTGTGCCTGGTCTCCACCATGAGGCTGAAGGGCGGGGGGTCCAGCTTGTGGTAGACCCGGAACCCCTTGCTGAACGCCATCCTGTCCGCAGAACTGTGGGAGC